TCTGGTGTGTAGGTTTAAAGAGACAGGAGCCTGGGAAGTCGTGAACTTGATGTCAACGGCCATCTGCAGCGCCAGGCTCAACGCCAATGGCTGCTTTGGCGCAAAGTCCGCTAGCAGAAGCATGTCGGCACGCTGCTCCTCTTGATGAGAACACTGCAACAGGAAGCGTGGTCTCAGAGACTGTCAAATCAGTGCCGCACAACAAGGCACGCAAAGCATGAGTGCAACGTATAATATAAGATTCATCCTATATTTACATTCTATATCCTTTAGTATATATTATATCTTCTGTCTAATAGAATATAATATATACATATAGAGTATATTACGTTATATCATATAATATAATATAAGATTATATTATATTATATGATATTAGAGTGCAATATATATATATATATGTATATACATATAAATATTACAGTCCTCTTCTTCACGCTAGATACAGGAGGAAGCCTGAAAGCCTCAGCAGAAACCCTTGCATGCCCTGACGGAATCAGTACGCGGCTTAAAGTTTTCCGAGAACGGCCCTAAGGGGCCCTAGACGGTCGATCACTGCAGCGGCAGCGGTGGGCTCTCCTGAACCCGTTGCTGTCGCTCGAAACCTAGCAGGAGTAAGGCACAATCGTCTAATGTGGACGTTAAGTCCGATGTGAAATCTCGAAGGAGAGCATTCTCAGTGGTGTGGGTGCGGAGGAATGCGAGGAGCTGCTGGGAGTCCGCAAGCTTGCCGAGAAGAGCTGTGGTCGAAGACAGCGCGCTCGGACCCCAGGCTTGCTAGGCTTTTTCGGCAAAGCTCATGGCCGTGTTGGTCTTTACTGGTGGCAGCAAATTTGCAGGGAAGATGGCCTCGTCGATGATCACGTGGTCGTCCAGGTTGATGTCGAAACTGCTCTTCCTGAGAGCAAAGCCAATTCTTCAGCGGGGTTCCGGGTTTCGAGTTTAGAGTGCGTGGCTCAGCCCTAGAAAAATTTTTGATCACGCGGAGGGACAGCAATGTGGAGATGATGTCTGCCGCGCAATGAGCATGCATGTCTGGTCTGTTGCATTCACGCGGAAGAGACCGTACAGGCCCAAGACAGCACTGAAAAGCACTTCCCACTGGCTATTGAGCTCGGCCATCTTGTCGTTGTCGTTGTTCACGGCTCGCAAGAGCGTTGCGTGGAGGCCACTCGCAATCGAGAACACGTAGAAGGAGTTAGGACACAGGTCAAGCGAGGACATGGTCCTGGTGCAGCAGAACCGTCCTAAAGGAGTCTCAACATTAAAGCGTTTAGATATACCCGAACAAGTAGTTGTGTAGATTGGACATGGTTACTTGTAGTTTTCTTTATTTTATTTCGCCACGGACTAACTGCCTTGCTGCTGTACCACTCTTTTTAAACACCAGCGCGCTGCACCATCGAGTTTCTAAAGCGGGCGTCTCGCAACAGGAGTTGCTAAAACTGTGTTTTCTGCGCAGCAAGGCCCGGGCCACAAGTACTTGTCCAAATTTGGTTTCAAGGGACCTGCTCTTCAGCTGTCCTGGCCTTGCCGCATCAGTGCTGCCTAAAGCCGTGCGTTGCAAAAAGCACACGCATTCCGACAGGCACACGCGTTGCAGGTATATGCTGGGCGCCTGTCACACAGGGCAGGTGAAACGGCATGGCGCAACAAGTGTGTGCTAATGTCGCGGCCATATGCACGAATGTCAGCAGGCGCTTGCTTCACTCAGTCTGCTCATCGGGAACTGGATAGAGTTCCAACACCTGCGACGACCTTGTGCGTTCCGCTTCCAAAAAGCAGAGCAAAGAAGCCGCAGGTGGTCTCGGAACCTCCAGGCTGTCAGCAAGTTATCAGCTCCAGGGTGCAGAAAGGAGTAACCTCACGGGGTTTATGTTTCGAAACCCAGAACGCCTTCCGGAACTAAAATGCGAGGTTGCATCGACAGCCCGCATTGCGAGCAAGCTCCCCATTTCGGCACACGCTTGCAGGAGCGAGGCTGCTGCACTGGCTCTGACGTCACGCGGTCATCTTCGATCTCGTCGACCTGGCCACTGTGCGAAGAGACAAGCGCAGCCACAGCGACACTCTGTTGCACACTGGAGCGAAGAGCAGGAGCGCGAAGGTCATGAACACTCCACTCAGGCACTGGAGTCCGAGCCTGGGAATGCCCTTCGTCGTCGGAAATAGCAATGCGGACTCTGCAGCGCGCTCAGTCTTCGAAGCCGACGCCAGATCCAGTGAGGACGGAGAGGCGCCAGGGCGGTCCGCGGGAACGTGAAGCCCCATCTCTTTCATGTCATCCTCATCCAGGCCCAAAGCCCTCAGAAGCGGTGGTTTCTGGTCTAGGCTTTAAGGTTAAGGGTTTAGGGTTTGGAGTTTGGAAGCCTCCACCCTGCATTCCTGAACTCTTGAATGTCACCACATACGTGCCGAAGCACGGAAAGTGCTCCAGGAACCATCGCCCCTTCAGCTTCTTGGTGCGCGGCGAGTCGGAAGACCGGGTCGGCGACAGAATGCCTGACTCACTGCATCTGTCAGCATACCAGGCATCGTCCTTCTGTTTCTGTTCTTCCAGAAAGAAGTGCCAACGTTTCAAGCGTCGGCTATGCGGCGAGTCAAAAAAACTGTGCGGTGAATACGGACCTTCGGTGTGCTCGTAGCGGCGTTTCGTGGTCGGACTCAACCCCCGCGGCTCCTCCAGCGTTTCCGCAGACGAAGTCACCTGAGCAGGTGAAGTTTCCGGCTGGAAACTGGTCCTTGCCACTACGGTCTCAGACAAAGGCCGTGCCACAGGATACCAATCGGTATCTGTCTGTGGAGCTGTCCAACTCGTTGGCGCTCCCCACCCGCTCTGCATGGCAGCCTCGTACCGGATACGGCTCGCATCGGCGATTTGTCCCAAGCCCCCTTGTCGATGAAGAAAGAGCACATAGGCCTGCGCGAGAGCTGGAGCTGCTGCTATGAAAGATGACCATGGAAGTCCACCAGAACGATTGTCTTCGAAAATGGCTATGGCCACCAGCCACTCAGCAGAACCGCGCGGAGCCCAAGACGTAAAGGCCTCAGAACTAGAACCAACCCAAAGGCCCTGGGGAAGAAACACACGAGTTTTGCGTTGACGGTTCCCTGCAATGGGCTATGTTGGCCTAGTTGCGTAAAAGTGCTCGTTGAGCTCTTCCAAGGGCCGGCCTGGCACTAAGCCGGACTTTGCCGCAGCAACATCAGCCATGCCAGCGCAGCAGCCAGCCAAGCGGACATGCCAAACTTCAGAGCTCCGCTCCTGTAAGAGACCTTCTAAACCCTAAACCGTAAACCCTAACCCTTAAACCTAAACCTTAACCCCTCAACAGGGCAAGTCCCGACAACACAAGTAACACCAGCTTTGGGAGCTCTAAACTGAAAAGGACAAATGCCTGCGTCCCAAGTTAAACAAGCCAAGACGAGGCCAGCGCATACAGAGCTCGACCGAAGTTATAAAAGATTGGAAGCACCCCGTCAAGCGCCTTTGCCCCTGGAGACCCCCCTCCACCCCTTAACGCAGGTCGGCAGGAAGGGCTGGCCCGATAAGGGGACGAACACCGGAAAAAAAAACACATACTCGGGCCGACACGAAAATCCACCGCTTGTGGGCAGGGCAAAAGCCACCCACCCACCAACAAGAAGCCCTCCCCTAACACCCTATCCCCTCACCCCCGCTATAACCCTAAACTTTAAACCCTGAACAGTACGCGCTGAACCCGAAGCCCTAGCATCAGCAACATGTTCCAAACCCAATCTGGGTACCTACGAATACAAGCTTCTCCCACGAACCCTGTCCTGCCGGTTGGACGAGAAAGAAGAAGATGCGCTTGTCGCAAAGCGAAACTGTACTTGAGACCACGGGCACAGCGTTGCGGCTGCGTGTTTCCGGCTTCGGGTTCAGGGTTTCTGATTTGGGCTGCCAAGTACTTTTCGGCTTGCACTCTTTGAAGATGTAGGTTTGAGATGAAGGGTGCCAAGTAGTTTTGGGCTTGCATTCTTTGGAGTTTTGGGTTTGAGATTAAGGCTGCGAAGTACTTTTGGGCTTGCATTCTTTGGAGTTTTGGGTTTGAGATTAAGGCTGCGAAGTACTTTTGGGCTTGCATTCGTTGGAGTTGTGGGTGTGAGATTAAGGGTGCCAAGTACACTTGGGCTTGCACTCTCTTGGGTTTAGAAGTACTTTTGGGCTTGCACTCTGTTGGTTTACAAGTCAGAGGAACGGAACCACCCCCCCCCCCCCCCCACCCCGTCCGAAAGTTACAGCCCCCCCCCCCCACCAAGCATGTGGAAAACGCACAAATCAAAGGAATGCAAAGAACAACAGTTACATGAATTGATTGAAAGATTACGGGAGCAAACAAAACAGTTTATAAAAGAAAATAGAGGATTCAATGAACAAATCAAGAAAAGAGAGGAGCATAGCAAATTCGTTGAAGATGTGTTTAATATGATTAGGGTTGACACGTAGAAATTCAAGACAGTATTTAATATACATTTTAATAAGCAAATCTTTATAACCAAAAAATATTATGAATATTTGACAAAACGCTAGAAGGTCAAACGCCCCAGAAATCCCTGAATTTGGAAAAAAGCACGAAAAACCATTGAATTCTGGGGGTAATTTTTGATATAATGAATAAGATATCTATATCCCGATAAAACCGTGGAAAAATAAATTTCAAAGTCCCTTAAAAACTTGAAAAATATAATTGGATAAGGTAATTTTCAAAAAATGAAAATGAATAAGGTGCTTTTTTCGTGAAAGTAATGAAGAAGATGGAACATGGTTTTTAAAAAAGTATTGTTTAATACTTAAAAAAAACCCCAGAAACATAGGTCAATAAAATCATGTTTGGTGAAAAATATCTGATGATTATTGTAAAATGAATGAGGTGAATTGTGTGATGATGTAAAACGGAGGAGGCGGGCGGGAACCCCTGAAGCCCCCTATTTACAATTTTCCCCCCCCCCCCCCCCCCCAAATCGCCAAGGCGCGCCTGGCGCAGTCTTCGGGCCGCAGTGCAGCCAGGGCCGTGGCTGCCCGAGGCGAGGCCGGCGACTGGTTTGTTTTTGTTCTCTGCGAAGGCTTTGAAAGTTTTGGGGCAGCACTGGGTTTCAAAGAATGCTGTGCGCTGCGCATGGCGAACCTGGTCTGCGGGGGTCTATTGTTGCCATAGATTGCAGAATGTCCATGTTCGGGAGCTACTAGCAAGACCCCAAGTTTACCCGGTTCGACCTGTGCCGTTGTGCAGGTCATCTTTGCTTGCAAGGAGCCCCTGCAGAGAGCTCCGTCAGTAGCAACTTCTCGAAGCCTGGAGGCATCTGCCATTTGCCTACCATCACTTGACTAGGGCACGGTTTGTGTATGAAGACTGGCCCAAAGCTGCAATAAGGCCTACAGTTTAGCAAACCAAACATGCGCAAGCAGGACTGTGACCTAGAAGGTTGCTCGAATCAGGGCATGTGTCGGCAGTGGCCAGATACCGATCTCTTTGACCAGCGATCCAAGACGATCTAAGCTAGCCTACGCAAACACGCTGTAGGTTCCATGTGATTCAGCGACTTGTAGCATCCGAACATGGCATCGTGAGTGGCCAGGGAGCGTACTGGGAAGCATCCAATCTGCTTGAGCCCAGCTATACATCTCAAGGGACCTGTCCTCTGTGCGCCCTGTGTTTGGCATACTAGAGGCAGGAGTTGGATTAGAACTTCAGCAAGAGAACTTTGATGTTGAGCCGTCGAGCATGCAGATTGGGCATCCAATCTGCTTGAGCCCAGCTGTACATGTCAAGAGACCTGTCCTCTGCGCGCCCTCTGTTTGGCATACTAGAGGCAGGAGTTGGATTAAAACTTCAGCAAAAGAACTTTGATGTTGAGCCGTCGAGCTCATTTCTTAGAGAGCCTTGGCAGCCTCTCAGGCTCCTGCGGCTGCGGCCGCGGGCAGCCCAGGCTCCTCATGATTTTCATGCTCCGTCTTTTCCGTCTTTTCTGTCTTTGTAGCCTCGAAGATCACGTCGACGGCTCGGGGGACACCGCCGCAGGTGCGGAGCCGCAAAGCCTGCTCTTGGGCAGCTGCTCGGTATGTTAGGTTCTGCAGGACCTCCCGCAAGCACCGGCAAACATCTTCGCGATACCCCTCTGCTGCCTCTGCCTTGTTCTCATATTTGCCGTGGGCAATGGAAGGCCGGTCCACTTTGAGACCAACACCCAAGGTAACAGCCTTGGCAGCGTTCACGACCTGATCTCCGAATCCGGGGCAAACCAGCACCGGAGTTGCAAATGCCAATGCTTCTGTAAAGCTGTTCTGCCCTCCGTGTGTCACAAAGACATCGACGCCGGCCCTTAGGAGATCCACTTGTGCGAATGAAGTCACGCACACGGCATTGCTGGGGACCTCGATGTTTCCTAGCGGGTCTGGCTGAATGCCAAGGGATACGACGATCAAGAAGTCTGCACTGCTGCACGCTTCGAAGGTGCCAGACCAGACTGCCCGACAAAGATCTCGGCCAGTGATGCTTTGGCCGTTGAGGTCGGCATCCCATCCTGCAACCTTGTCTCCTCTGGTGATCACGGTGCCCATGCTGACCAGGACAATGCGCTTTCCCGCAGCATGGGCCTGTTGCATACGTTGCACGATGGGGTCCTCCATAGCTGGCGCTGCTCGCGGCAAATGTGGCAACAGGAGAGGGCCAACAAAAACAAAGCGAGTACCCTCCCGTGCGTAGGCCTCAGTCAGGGCCTCTGTCACAGGATCCTGGAGCTCCTCGGACGTGGTCACCAACACGGTGTTGTGGCAGGTGTCCAGGTAGCCATCCGGGACTAGGTGGGTTTGCTTCAGGGCCAAGCCATACTTTTCGTTGATACGCTTAGTGGCTGCCAGGTGCGGGGCGAACTGCTCAACCTCCTGCCCAGCTTCCTTCCAAGGACCAGGCAGGAACACTCCAGAACAAGGGTGTTCAGATGAGTTTAGGATGGCTTCGAAGACTTGGGGCTTGATTGATTCAGGCAAGAAAGCTCCTCCAGGGACAGTTCGTTCAGCAGCGCCGGGCCGTGCCGACGCATGGCCCCGGGCCCAGCCAGGGTCAGCAGCCCTACGTGCGGGATGCCCAGGACCTGCGACGCGCAAATGGTGGCCGCAAAAAGCCCCTACACTCCACCTGAAAATTCGTCAAAAGTGCAAACGCTTTGGATGGCCATCATGTCCTCAAGGGTGTTCACGCATTGGATGCTCTGTAGTGGCAGCCCTGCCGGCCCTCGGGCCACTTGCACGCCTATGCACATGTGGACCTGACCCCCTGAAGCCCCTGAAACCCCCCCAGTCTCACCGACCTGCGCTGCCAGGGGTGCCGCTCTGCTGGTAATCAGGGGGTCATAGACAAGGACGTCGGGCTTCCTTGGGTCCGCCCCCCCCCCTCCCCCCCCCCAAAAAAAAAAAACAAACAAAGAGAACAAGTGGATCAAAAGAAGGCGCCTCCGTTCAAACCTCAAACTTTCGCCGGGTCTCAGGCTCTCCAGGAACCGCAAAGTGCCGGGGAGCTCCAGCTCGAGGCTGACGTTGAGGCACCTTCCGTCCGAATCTCAGGATCTGGAGATCTTTCAGATCTCTCTGTATAGCTCTCTTTCCTTTCTTCTTTCGTGGGGCATCTCTCCGGCACTCTCTCTATCGTTCCCCTATGTTCCCTTCGTAACCCTTCGTTATTTCTCGCTGCCTTCCACGTGCTCGATGGGCCGGGTGTGAAATTTTTTGGGGAAGGGATGCCGGGAGTTTCGGAAAAACCGTTAAACCATGAGGTGAAGCCAGGCCGACAAACTGATGCAACAAAAAAAGGGAGTACAGGATTTTCAGCAAGGCGCTTCAAGATATTCAAGAAGGACATCTCCAAACCGTGCTCCTCCATAATGCTGAAGACGGCTAGATTCTCCGAGCCACGTCCGACGTAAAGCTCAGACTGGACGTCGACAGTGTTGTGGAAGATCGCGCCCGCCTCTTCGACTTTCTTTCGTGCCATCTCCAAGCACAAGAAGTGTACTTCATGTCCCGACTCCACCAGAGCCTTCACCACTGGAAGTGTGGGGTTCAAATGGCCCACGTGCTCTGAACACGTGACGAGGCAGCGAACCATTCCAAGAACTTAGGAGGGAATGAAGGGGTATGAAGGAGGCACCCAGGGTCAGACGGGTGAGCCCGAATGGCTGTGGGTGCCGGCACGATGTGAGACTTTACTCAACATGCCAGCATAACTGGCAAATCAGCTCGTTCATGTTCTGAGCAGATGGCTGCGCCCGCCGGCCGTGTCGCAGCGTTGCATCGCCCGCCTGGAAGATGCTACAGTAGGGTAGGCAGCAATGGCAACAACGAAGGTTTCTGCGCCTCCACACACAGGCCGAGTTTTTACCCCGGCCAATCGGCACCGTGAGAGCTGTAAGAAATGCTTACCCCGAAATTAATTTACTTCGTAAAAAGGAAAGAGCGCAAACAAGATGTTCAAACGAAGACACATTGATTCAAATACGCTTTCTTAGTTTTTGCTTACAATTGGGGTTGGGCACTCGGGAGACTCTGGGGTCGGGGAGTCTCCGGGGCTGGGCACTCCAGGGGATCTCTAGGAGTAGACCGGGCAAAGAGAAGAGTTCCGGGCGAGGAGAAGAGTTGAGTTTAAAATCTAACAACCCCACACCGGAGGTGGGGAATAACAACAGCTCCCACTGGCAACGTTCACGATTATATGGCCAACTGCATCCCGCATCCGGCAGCCTGTGCAGCAAGCTGCAGAGAGATTGTGGTGTTTCCTTGGCACGAATGCCAAGAGTGGCTGCACAGGGACGCCTACGTATACGTATGCCTCTGGCCAATTGCCCCACGATCCGAACCAGTAGACTTACCACCTGCTAGAATTCCACAAAATGCTGCGCAGGGACGGCAGGCTCATTGTGGAGTTCCAGGGAGCTCCTTAGGCCAAGGAATGCCGCTGCCCAGACCGACAAGGATGAGTCAGGAAATGCTCGGAGCAAATCATCATCAACCTGGTCATCAACCCTCAACCTTCTCTCACCCTCGCCCCCTTGCAGTGGCACATGATCCGTCTGGGCAATGCGCTGCAGCTCGGTGCAAGCCATCAGGGCTTGGAGAAGCTCCCCCTGCAAATCACCCCAAGCTCGCAACCCCAAAATGAATCAAAATAGCCACCCACCCAAAGCTGCATCTCCAAACTGCGCAGGTCTGACAAAACACTGAAGCCTACACGAATACAAGCGAAAGAAAAGGCAAAGCTGAATCTTCAAAAGCTCCCTGTGTAGCCACCAAGGCCTCTGACAGGCCCTCAACGCCGTGCAGCCGGCCCCGAAGCGCAGCGCGGGCGTCACCCATCGCCTGAGGGTTTTCTTGGGTCACATACCGGCGGAACCCGTCCATCGTGCAGGTGAACCACCCAACAATTCCCGAACTGAGCCGAGTGCGACCTTCACCATGTCGAGAACAGCTCCCCTGAGTCAACTCCCAGTGCGCGTTCTAGAATGATGGGCGAGAAAACAGAGACCACCCCCGTGGCTCAGACAAAGTGGAGGAGCGTTACCATGAGGGTGCAGCAAAAGGGAATGGATTGTCACGTGCCCGAAGCGCCCGAATTTCGCCCGAATTTCCCTCAACCTCGTCAGTCAGCACTTACCAGCCACATAAAGGATCGGATTCAAAAAAAGACGCGATCTTGAAAAAATCGTGTAACAGCTTGAAGACTCTGTAGACCTGAAGCCGGGGAGGCTTCAAGCTCTGAGTGCCCGGCTGCTCAATCCGAGGAGCTACCTGAAGGCATCAGAGCTCTCATGGCTTGTCTCGTTTATGCTATCTTAAAGGTGCTTGAGAAAGAAATCGCAGCGTTTGTGCCCGGTTGACGTTTGCTGACCCCAAACAACAGCCTTAAGCCCCTGCGGGCGCGTGCGCGCCCAACGGCCCTTCCACCGCCTCGGCAAGCAGCTGCAGCAGCCGAAGGAGCTCCTGCAGAGCCCAGCTTCTGCCGGCTTTTGAAACTCTTCTGAAAACTCACAAAACGCCCTTGTCTGGACAATAATGACCGCTGCTGTCTGCCGAGGCATCTTCGCCAGTCCTCCTTGTTCAGTTGCCAGGCCTAGAGGACAGCAGCGATTTTGGAGAACATTGGTTCCCTTCTTTCAACAGCTCGCGGCAAATCAGCCAACCGTGCGAATGGGAGCACAAAGAATTACGAGGAAGAGCTCAGCAGACATACCGAACAGCAATGGCTGCCATGAGCCACAGGATGGGAAAAAACACCAAGTTCGGACACTTGGTAGACCAACACTTGGTAGTGCACTTGGCAGAAGCACTTCGCAGTAGCAATTTGCAGTAGCCCTTCACAGACGCCGCAAACCCCTTTCCAAAGCGCCAGTGGGACAGCTTCGAAGCCCCTGAGCGCGTGGCACTGGGCAGCTCGCGGAGCAAGACCTTCACAGCGCTTAAAGTTGACAGAGGCGGTTCATAAGGAATCAAAGCTCAACATTCTTAAATGTTCTTAAAGATCTTGCACTGTCTTGCAGCTTCTCCGGGCTACCAAACAGTCCATAACAAGATGGACTGTGTTTGCTTTCACGAGCCCCACCTTGAACTTTCGTCGAGGCGTCATTAAAGTAACACCCCCGCACCAGTAACTGCAAGCTGACAAGCTAGAAGGGCTCAGTCGGTACGATCGTTCCACCAGGGCCCCCCGGAACCTCTGCTGCTCAAACCGAAACCGGAAAAGAGATTTTGCTTCAAGAAAACAAAGAGAGGACTCTTTTCTGAAGCTCTTCTGAAGCTTCAACAGGAAGTCTCCGGCTTCACTTGGCTTAAGGGGCACCTCGGCCAGCGAGGCGGCGGGGCACTTCAGCTTCAGGAGGGCCTGCGGAATGCACCACGACACCACGGACCACGTAAAAACAGTAAAACCCTCCACCTGTTCTCTGTTCGGCTTCTGAAGTTCAGGGTTCAGGCTGCTTTCGGGGGCTTTGGGCTTAAAGTAGCTTGAGGATTCTGATCATGCGTACGACTCCTTCGGTTCGCAGTTTTCGGTGGGGCTTCATGTGCTTGGAAATCTTGGAAGAAGCTGAGCCTCCAAACAGTCTAGCAGAAGGCTGCTCGGCAGCTGATGGAGATAGAAGGGCGGGACCTTGCAAGAGGGCTTTACAGAGGGTACAGGGTTCTGGAGATGGGGAAGCCTACGACTCTGTGGCGCTTTCCTTGAAGGGCTCCGAGCCCCGAAAAATGCCCTGGAATCCGGCACATCCGAGCGACTGCCAGGAGCTCCTTTATGGCCGTGGCCATGGGCGCTGCTTGGCACGAAGCCTGCGGGCTGTTCATCAAAAGTCTTCAATTCTTACATTCACAATGCATCGTGAACCTTAACCAGTACCTCAACAAATAGCCACGCCCCGAAAACACAGGAACAGGTGTTTGCCGACCCCTACAGGAGGGTCACCAGCCACAAAATGCAAAAACTTCCACTGCCAAGCACTCAGGCTGTTGTTGCCGTGGGAAAGATGGCGCCTCAGCCCCCAGCAGGGCCAAGGCGGTCAGCGAGTGGCTGAATTGCTGAGGCGTGAAGTAGCCGGCCTGAGGGTTTAGAGATGTTTGAGAGCTTTGAGAGGAATCCACAGCCCAGAAGTAACTCAACTCACAGAGCTCACACAAACCAAAGGACTCACTGATTTGGCAGCTGCAGCCAGCGGGCTGCGTCATTCAAGCGGTCCAGCACTGGATTCAAATAGGCAGGCTCCACCTCAGCGACTTGAGGTTTCGAAGCTCAAGCTTGCCAAAACACTCTCCCTGGGCTCTTTCGGCGCGCTGGGTCATCGGCGCTCCGCAGTGCAGCAAGCGCCTCGTTTTCTTCAAGAGGGCCATGGGGAGGGATGCCGAGATTCTCTTGACAAAGTGGATGGAGCTGCGAATTATGCATTCCAGGACAAGTCTCAGCTATGGCCATGTAGAACAAAAAGCCCGTCCCATTGGTGGAATGGAGAGAGAGAGAGAGAGAGAGAGAGAGAGAGAGAGAGAGAGAGAGAGAGAGAGACGCCTGCAGCGCTGAAGTCAGCTCCGCCGGCCTGAGCTGCGGCGCGGCCTCTGCGTGGACTTGCTGTGCTAGAAACCACAGCATGATGTAGCACCCGATGCAAAGCACCACGCAAAGAAGTGCGCCCTCAAAAACCCTAAACTCTAAAACCCACGACCCCAAAACAAACCCCTACACTCTAAACTTAACCCCTGAAAGACCCTGGGGAAAAATTAAACAATCTTGAAAACCCTAAACCCAAAACGTAAATCCTAAGGGGAGTGGAGAAAAAGAGAAACTGTAAAATATAACCAGAACAGCCATATTGCAACAGGACAGATAGGAGAATTTGCAACCAAGCAAAACAGGGTGAAAGTACAGCCAGCTGTCTTGAAGGTTTACACTTGAGGGGTTTGGGTTGTAGGAGGTTCCGTTCGCCTTGAGGGGTTTGGATTTAGGTCTTGAGGCTGTTACGGTTTAGGGTGTGCAACAAGCTGCTTCTACAGCAATCTGCTGCTAATGCCTTTACCTTACACCCGCAAACCCTCCCCAAACCCCCTGTCCCGTAAACCCAGAAACCAAACAATAAGCGAGCAACCAACAACAAACACACACATGAGCGACTGACAAAACCCTGTGCTGATTGAACGTGACATGCTTGGTGGGCCCCTGTCGATTTTCGAGGACTACAAATACAGACTGACCGGAGCCTGACATGACATGGGTGCCTGAGGGTGGGCCCCTATCGCTTTGCGAGGAAAAGTACGAAAACTGAAGGGGGCTGCATCAAGACAGAATGAGACCTACCATAATTTTGTCCGATGTTCATATGATCCAAACACAGCGAAACAAACAAGAAGCAACGAAGAGCAACAAAAAACACATAAGATATAAACACCAACCTCCAATGTAGGGATCTTCTGGTGATCCGGACTCTAAGCAGCACTTCCTCAAAAACAAGAAGCAAAACCATGTACAGAAACAAAGACACAGACAAGAAGCAACAAAGAGCAACAGCAACAACAACAACAACAACAACAACAACAACAACAACAACAACAACAACAACAACAACAACAACAACAACAACAACAACAACAACAACAACAACACCAACACCAACAACAACACCAACACCAACACCAAAAACAAAAGAAATAACATTTAGGTACTTATGCTCAACATGTCCTAAAGTGCTCTGGAAAGGCCCAAAGAGCAACCTGGTAGTGTTTGCCTAGGGCTCGCATTCAATCTTATGCTTTCCATTGATTGTAGTCCTATTTTTCTTATTAACGTAATCGACGGTTGCGATTTCCCCCGTTTTTGGAGACCCAAAACTATGCCCTGCTGTAATTTGGCGGTTCTGGCAAATTCTCCCTTCTGGTTGTGTTTTGCCCCGCTGGCGTCTGGGCAGGGGCCCGGGGGGGGAGTGGGGGGGCCGACACTGCACCATGTATGGGGGGCCCCTCTGAATTGGGCACCCAAATTTCTTGAGTCGACTGCCTCCGCCAGTGGCCCGCGAAGCCGACGCCATTCCAGTGGATCAAACCTCAACAAACACAAAAGAGGGGCCGTTTTGGGATTTGGGTTCGGATGGTTGACGATGTTCGTCATGCAGTTCCGATGCCAACAAGGCCTTCTTTGAAATGAGCAGCGGATTTCGATCTGTCCCACACATTGCAGCAACTGATTCTGGTAGTAGCCCTCCAACCCAAGCATGAATACCAACAGTCGCCACCAGCAAAAAAGGACTCCTTGTCACAAGTGGGAACGCAACAAGGCTTTGACAAAATGTTGGACTGTTGGCTGGAGTTTATGACACGAGCTGGCAGCAGGTGACGGGCCCTGTTTTTCCCTTCTTCACACCACACTCAAACTAGCGCGAGATGACACGACGGCATCGAATCCGGTAGCACGAAGTCCGGACCTTACCCTTTACATTGCCTCAGCAGGTCATCACAGTCGGTTGCAGACATGTTACTCTGCGGCGCTGACGGCCGGAAAGTGAGCACTTGCCTCTGATGCTCGTAATGACCCAAACGGCATCGTGTTGGCAGGACTTGCGCCACTTGTGTGCCCTGTCGCAAAAGCTACGGTCGACATCGGATCGGTCGACATCGGAGAAGGCATGCCGCTCTCCGTGGTGCTCCGCTCAACTGTGACAATGCAGCGGCGAAAGATATCGAGCTTAACAGCTCGTCGGTGCTCTTCAAAAACAGAACAGCTTTTGGCGGTCCGACTACATCAGCAGTGACCGTGTTTCAAACAGGTGGGGGGGGCGACGATGCTTCAAATGAACAGGTCGCGACCTCGCCTTCTGCAGTCTCTGTGGCAAGTCTTTACACCGCAAGTCTTTTGCATTGGGTTGTCCATGCGGCAGTCTGTATATGTGTATGTAACTTGTGTCAAACAGATGTGTATCAAAAGGCATCCACAGAGGACATGCCTGGTTGCTCTATCGCTGCCCAATTTTGGCCCTGCCGTGCTCAAGCCGCTTGCCACAGCGGCTGCAGCGCGCGAATTCGAAACCCAGCGGCTTTGGGGGTCAAAAAAACTGCTCTTGGCAGGCTCAGGCACCTGCTGCGCCTCAGCCAAGCAAGAGTCTCGACACCCAATACTGCCAATACTGGTAGAGGTCACCAGAAGCACACCCAAAGCACACATTGCCAGGAAGAATCAAACCCTCGACGTAAAAAGGCAGACCTTGAACGGAGATGTAGGCCTCCACGGCACGGCTGATCACAAGCAGAACCAATTGCGACCTGGGTCTGGGGCCTTTCGAGTTTGGTTCTTTTTGGATGTAGGGTGAACACAAGCAGGCAGTTGGGATTTCAGGCGGTCAGAAAATTTAGCTCCCACACCCCAAAGTAACACTATGGACATAGCCCTTAACTCATCCCGAAACGCCCCTCCCACCCTTCCCACAGTCTGAAGTCCACGAAGCCACGCTGGCAGCCGAACATCTCGGGCGTCACGGGGCTCGCTGCTCGCCTAAGCCGAATCTGTCATAAATCTAAAGCCTAAAGCGCTGTACATGTAATTCCAGGCAACATCCAAAACAGTCAACCAACAAGAAGGATCTCTAGCAAACATCTACTCGGACCATAAACTCCAAAGTACCAACATGAGCCGCGCAGCGACACCACCACCCCAGGTATCTTGCGGTCAGCCAGGTCTCCCCAGCGCCTGTAATTAGGGGCTCCAGGTCTTGCGCGGGCTGCGGATTCAAAAGCAGGGTCGCGCGGGGCACACTTTTGCCACCAAGCTATGACAACTTTACTCAAGCTGTGCACAATACATGATGCTGTTTTAAAAGTGGCATCCGCATTTGGCTCGGGCTCCTTCAGGCCTAAACCAAAATTTTCCAGATTGAGCTGGCTTGTTGTGCACTCGCACCGGTGTGGCTTTAGAGGTTTTCGGTTGAGGTCTAGGCTAAGAACTCTTCATTCTCTTCATGCTGAATGCTGAGATGGCATCGATGTTTTCAAGGGGACGATCATCCTTTGAGCTGCGGACAGTGGAGCTCGGTCCAGCGGGAGCTTAAGGTTTCAGATTGGGGTTCGGATCCAGGGATCACAAGTCGGGAATGCTGTGCAGCCTTCCTAGCTCTGAGCTATGAGTCTGAACACGAAATTGCTAAGCTGCTAATTTCGACTGTGAAGCCCAAAGCTCAGATCATCCTAAATCCCCAAATCAGGTGCCAGTCCATTTCCAAGCCCCTGAGAGGCTCCAGTGCCAAGCCCCCTGAAGACCAAAACGAGATGATCCTATCCCACCGCCACGGCCGAGGTGCTCATCCAGCGACAGAACATCTTCGGAGAGGGAAGCGCTGAGCAACACGCGGCCCTGGTACGGAACAGGCTTGTGACATTGTGCTTCGCCCCCGACAGAATTAAGCATCCCACTGTAGACCATTCAGGCAAATTTCGGGGGGGTTCTCTGATTGGGGATTCTCAAAGCTTAGTGGCTCAAGTCAGCTATTTGTGTGCTTTTAGTGCCTGAGGTCCTCAGGCCATGATGTGTCGGTCAGGTAGATTGAGCTGGATCCCGCTGGGCGAAAACATCTAAGATGTGGGTGGAGGAAATGGTCGGGTGGTGGTTTGTCCCCTAAATCACAGATGCAAATTTAAGACGACCTCAAAAACATGAAAGTCGCACACCGTCAAGATTTGAACTGAGCAAAGGAAATCTACACGTAGTAGTGAAACCAGAAAGTTTGCAACACAAGTACAACTGAATTCGCCAAGAAGTAAAACATTGCAAGGCCGGAAACTGAACGACACCCAAACTGAACGAACATGTATAATCATACGGAACGCACGAGCTACTTTAACGAGACACCTCAAACACAGGTAGGCACAATGTCTTGAGCCAGAACAGCAGTAGCACCGGAAAGACGCAAAGTCTGAAGCAGACATCAGGAAGAAAAGCTGCATTGGTTTCGATGGCAGTGTGCAATCCACCGGCGCATGCTGCACCAGCCATGCTTTTGTTGTCATCGCTGTGTTGCTTGAGACCAGCTCTTACATGTCTCGCTCCACCGCGACAGTGTCAACGCTATCGCATTGGCATCACTGCAAAACCACATTTTGGGCGCTGTGGGCTCTTTGGCGCGAGTTGGATCAAGGAAGGACGAGGTGCACCGTGCAATTGCGTGTGTTGCTGCAGCCTGGAGGCCCCCAAAGGGGTGGCGCATCTGTGGTGTGCTTCAGAAGGATGCATCAGCCACTAACAAGGGTGACAGGGCGCTGGTGGCGACACCCAGCTTCCGATTAAGGTTGCGTAGAAGTTGTGCAATGAGAACAAAAGCCAGCTGCACAAGCAAGGCGTATTTCGATTTCGAGAGAAACGCCAGCAAGATGCGCTCCAACCAGAAGCGACAAAAAAGGCAAGAGATCTGGGGAGGTAAAGCAACACGAGCACACACACACACACCTACCTATGCGAATGTATGCGAATATGCCGGCCCTTCCTGGCCCAATGACGTGATTTCTGCCTGGTTCGCGATGCTGGCGCACTCGGTGTTCTTGCTGTCGGGCACCTCCCGCACCTCAATTGGCATGCCAAGCTTTCATTTGACAAAGCACATATCCTGAAGCTGAGCTCATGTCCAAGCAAACCCCTGCATGCCCTAGACCCCGAACCGAAACCCTTCAATGACTGGGCACCCCCAGTCGATTGCTGTTCTGTCGCCGCACGTCGCTTTCGATGCGATGCGGAGGGATCCACTTCGCGCCTGCGGGTACCCATGATGCATTGCAATAGGCTACGCCCCCCATAGCAACGTGAAAAAAAGATGGGACAAGCAAGATACAAAAAAACGATCAAGATGCATCAGGATACGTGAGAGTACAAATGGATACTTAACGCACCTGAAGCATTCTCTCAAGCAGCAGGCAGTGACTCCATGGCCTGTGGCAAAGACGGCTTTGATGGTTCCTGCGGGCACCTGGAACCCTTCGGCGACCGTGTTCTGGGCGAAGAAGGCCTGTGCGAGATCGTCCGTCTTCGGCTGCCAAGGGCTTCAATCCAGTGCGCACTTTTTCTCGCGGTCGAGTGCGCACCGTGACCCTGAAATGAGCTCCCTTGCCAGGGTTCCAACCCAACACTCCTTTCAGGGCTTTGGTTTTTGAAGGGGTTTTGGGGTTTGTTGGGTGTCAAGGGCGTTTCGTGGTTGGGAGGGTTTTGGTGGTGGTTCTAGGGTCTTCAGGGTGATTGAAGGTGTTTGGTTCTGCGGCATCCTTCTGGGGGTAAGGCTTGAAAGAGGGTTTGAGGGTCCAGGTTGGGTGGAGATTTGTTTCGCGTTGCTTTTGTTCTTTTTCTCCATTTCCTTGGTCTTCCATAGGAAGAACTCTATTGCCTTTGTATTTTAATCGGTGTCTCCTTAGGAAAACTCTATTGCCTCTGTATGCGTACTAGTTGGCATGGGATTCGCAGTCATCTGGCTCATTTCCTTGTGTGTGTGTGTGTGTGTGTTTTTGGAAAAACGGGCTTCGAAAGCATGCCGGTTTATGTAGTGCAAGTTCTCTCCTGGGCATGAAGTTTAAAAGACGCGGCAGGGCTCTCCCCACAAATTGCAAACACAATACTCGCAGGACAGGTTTGGAATGGTATGAATAATATCGTTCCTTTCTCTCTTTACTTGTTTCTGTTGTTCCTTCGTTCGCCTCTGTTTCGGTTGTTGCTTTCTTCCTTTCTTTCTGTCCTCTTCTTCCTCGGTCCACCTAGAGGTTTTCCTCTTTCAAGCACATAGAGAAAGAGAAAATAAACGTTTCCCCTCCCCCCCCAACCCCAAAACAAAATTTGCAAAACCACAACACCGCGAACAAATACGCCCTCCGTCTGGGGTCTGGGTTTTCAGGGTTTATGCTTTTAAAGCGGCTTTCAGTGCACTTCAAGTGGGTTAAGAAACCTCTAAAGGGCCTGTGTGCCGGGACCTGTGCAGCTTTCTGAGACCTGTCTGGCTGCGAGCAAAGCAACCTACCCGAACAACCAGCACAAAAACCAGGACAATCCTCTACATGAGAAATCCGAGCCCTCGCGAATCAG